AATGCCAAGGTAATCTTGATTTGAACACCTCCTAAAAGGTGTAGCAGGTGTCATTTATCTTCACTTCTGCCTTACAAGGACTTCAAACCATCAATTCGTAATAATGAAGAAACACAAATTGCCATTATTACTTCCATCAATATGAGCTGGGTCTAGACACATCAGAAAAGCGTTTCAGTTTAAAGCGTTGTAAATTTAAACAGGGAAAACAGGCAGAGAAAAATGGGATTCCACATCGCCACCTGGTGGCACAATGTTCTATCGCATATACAACGCGTATAAATCGCTTTTTCTTTACCAGTCTATCTGAGTCCGTATTCTCGCTGCAGCGAGCCCAGACTAGATGTACTTCTAGTTTATTGGGAAGAAAAGGGAAACAGGAGGCATGAACTAATACAGAACAAGGGACTTAAAGGAACATCAGATCTGGGTCCTGGATGTTTGGGAACATTTGTTGTCAAGGTATGAAAAAGTATGGAAACTACTGCTATATTTCAGTTAGTGAAATGCAGTATAAAGGCTAGAATATTAGGTTTGGACATGAGAAATATCCATTTAGGTGTGAAGCTCACTCAAAGATGTTCAAAGAAGGATGACCCAGGAATAGGGCAAGTCAGTATCTCTGAATTTGACTTTCCTCAGAGGGTTCATGTGAATTAAGTCATTGAGATTATTTCACGTTAACTGCTCTGAGAGTAAAATATAAATGGTGTTTGAGGAGGCTTGAATATGTGAAGTTATTAATATGTTGTTCTAATATGTAATTGATTACTAATACAGTGGTACCTCGGGTTAAGTTCTTAATTCGTTCCGGAGGTCCATTCTTAACCTGAAACTGTTCTTAACCTGAAGCACCACTTTAGCTAATGGGGCCTCCTGCTGTTGCCGCACCGCCGGAGCACGATTTCTGTTCTCATCCTGAAGCAAAGTTCTTAACCTGAAGCACTATTTCTGGGTTAGCCGAGTCTGTAACCTGAAGCGTTTGTAACCTGAGGTACCACTGTACATATATGGCAACTGGAGACTCATGTGAACTCACTCATGTCATTCTCTGGATAATATTTTCTCGGTGTCCATTTTCTCTTTGTACGCTCCCTAGTTTACACATGGACCTATTCCAACTTTTACTCAGTACTCAGACACACTATTGACACATACCAATTGCACACATCTCCATAGTCAGCGTTCATATATTGATTTAGCAAATGACCAGTAGTTTGATGAGCACAGCAGAGGAGCAACGTTTTCCCACACCCTCATCTGCCTCTCGGCCTTGTATTGTAAAATACTGAACACTAGGCATGTTCATAAACATTCAATAACCTGTCAGCACTGGCATCAGTGACCAGGAAAGTTCCATGCGGAAGTCAGAGCTCTTACAGCAGTTGTCATGGGAGTGTCAAGCACCACAGCCTGTGATTATGTTAGGTTTTCTTCTTTTGTCAGGTTTATCTGATTTGAGGGGTAAATTGGCAGATAAACACCTCAATATCGTGTGTTTTCTTTATGGCCATGGTGAAAGGCCTAAAATTTTGTCCAAGGCTTGCTTTGTCTGGTAGGAACTATGTATAAATAGATACATAGTATTGGCAGATAACTTCCATTTTCTTACAAATTTGTATAATATCTGTGAAACAGAGCGTATTCAGGTTGCAGTATTTTGCTGACGTATATATAACATATTGGAGTCAACGTTCACTTTACACATCAAACTTGAAATCGATGGGATTTGAGTGTGCCTTCTTTTTCATTATTCCAGTACGTAAAGAAACGACGTACGTTGTTTAGTACATGTACCAAACCAATGTGATCACTGATGTAGATGAAAATGCATTTATATATACTGCAAGAAATACGTAGGCGTTTACACATTGAAATCATTATTCTCTCAACAAGGCTTGCATCTTAATCCCCATCCCAGCATTGATTCTGAGCAGCTAGGGAGAGTTGAGTCACGTCTTTGCCTCAGTTTGCCCTTCTCTTTGTACAAAGGGGATTTAATAATATTTACTTAGCTATCTCTCTGGGGAATTGTGAGGATAAATAAATGGACTGATGTTAGTTGAGTCTTTGAATACGTGAAGCACTATATAAATAACTAAATAGCAATACTGAATTGAATTATCTATCAATCTACACTTCTAGGCTGCAGTCCAGGAAAGCTCTTGAGCATGCTTGAAAGCAAAGAGAGGGAAACATTTCTGAAGCACTAGAAATAAGTGCAAGAACTAGAATGCAAGGGGAGTGTTCAAAAGTTTATGGGATTAAGAAGACTGGTAGAAATGGGCAAAGAGCTGAATGTTCACGGCAAATTCCATATCTTTAGACACTGAGGCCATCCCCACCCCGAGAAAGAAATCAACAAGATGGTCAACTGAATGAAGTTCAGCCCTTAGGCACGGAGACCTCCATGTGATTTGTTGCAAGAATATGGAGCTGACAGTAGTCTTCTGACCTAAACAGATTTCAATGAGGGTATGATTGAATGAACAAGTACCTCCACATGAGGTGAGGCATATACAGTGGTACCTTGGTTTACTAACTTAATCCATTCTGGAAGTCTGTTCTTAAACCAAAGCGTTCTCAAACCAAGGTGTGCTTTCCCATAGCAGCGGGGGACTCAATTTACAAATGGAACACACTCAACAGGAAGCGGAACATGTTCTTATTCCAAGGCAAAGTTCACAAACCAAAACACCGGGTATTCAGCATTCTTAATTCACGTTGTTCATAAACTAAGCTGTTCTTAAACCAAGGTACCACTGTACATGCTTTCATTATTTATTTACTTTCTTATATTGAAATGTATATCCCACATTTCTAAGCAAAAATAACCACCTAAGGTAGCTTGCGTTACATTAGGGTAAAGCAATATAACTGTTGGGTTTTAGCATTTGTAATTTGGTTAAAAGAATAAATACTAGAAATGGCATAATACAGTGGTGCCCCGCAAGACAAATGCCTCGCAAGACGAAAAACTCGCTAGACGAAAGGGTTTTCCGTTTTTTGAGTCGTTCCGCAAGACGAATTTCCCTATGGGCTTGCTTCGCAAGACGAAACGTCTTGCGAGTTCTTGCGAGTTTGTTTCCTTTTTCTTAAAGCCGCTAAGCCGTTAATAGCCGCTAATAGCCGCTAAGCCGCTAATAGCCGTGCTTCGCAAGACAAAAAAACCGCAAGACGAAGAGACTCGCGGAACGGATTAATTTCGTCTTGCGAGGCACCACTGTAAAAGGAGAATTCCCTAGATGAGAGGCAAGAGAGAGCTTCAGCAGAGATTTTTAAATTGCAGCACATGTGGTAAAGTAAAGCATGGAAATACAGGTTGTTAGACCTTTACAATAACCCTTTCTAAGTCACTTTCAAAACTCTCCACTTATCTTAGTATAGAAAGAGACCATATGTTTGGTAAATTTACTGACAAACTCTTCAGACGTCGGATTTTCCATACTGTAGCAAGACAACACAGGCAGCAAAACCTAGCTTAGTTTCAAAGTGGTTGGTAAATGTTTCTACATTATTTCTATGGAATGACAAAGATGGCTTGCTAAAGCCATGCATTGTAAGCTTGGAGCATCCAGCTTAGATGTCTTTACTGGTTGAGTTCATATAGTGGAAAGGGAGAGAACAAAGAGTTTGGTAACCCTTCCAAGGTGACAGTAAGTGACCTAGCTAAGCCTGGCAGTACAGCTTATTCTATGGTCTTAACCCCTTCATGAATTAAGTAGAGTTAAGCATGTTGATTATATGAGGCTAGATATATCCCACAATAACAAAGTAAAATAAAATATGATCAAGGATGAACCAGCAATGACAGAAACTTAGAATCCTGCCTGCAGTCAGGAGGGGGCGAGACTGGTATACACAGTTTGTCCTCTCTTTTGAATGCTAGAATAGAGCATTAGACAGGATTCCAATCCAATGAAGTAACTAAGTTTTGAAAGGCTGTGGCCAGGTCTGACTTCTCTAAGAATGGATGCAATTGATGAACCAGACAGAGCTGGCCATTGCCATCACCTCTTGACCCAAGAGCAACACTACATTCAGGAATGCCTTTCAAGTGTTAGACTTGTTACTTTAGGAAGAGTGGAATTCAGTGCAGAGCAGACTGGACACCTCATCTAATATCACTAGAACCTCTGACCAGCAAGATGATTGACCCTGGTGTATAAAATCAGCAGCTTTATCTGATATCTACCAGATCGCAAGAACACCAGCAGACCCATGTGGTCTAGCAACTGATTGCATGAGGACTGACGTCTCAGGAGAACACCATATCTTTAAAGTACATTTAGCACACATTTTAAAACATATGGCTTCCCCCTAAAAAAACCTCCTAGGAGCTGTAGTTTATCCCTCACAGAACTACAGTTCCCAGCACCCTTTACCAACTATAGTACCAATAATTTTGAGGAGAAGACATGTGCTTTAACTTGATTGTGTCCATAAGTGGATGGACTCTGATATTAGCTGCAAAGCCCTGTGGGTCATACTACTTCTTAGTAATGGCTCCCTGGCTGAAGAACATCCTCTGCCAAGTGTTTTGGCTGCCATCTTTCGGATCCAGCAGAAGACATTCGTCTGCCTCTAGGACTTTTGAGTGCTGATATCTATATATAGAACCATATGTGGAAATTCTATGATTTTGGTTTATATATTGTTACCTGACCTGAGGTGATCTGATGGACAGGATATGAACCCTATTAATTAGTTGAAAACTCTGTTTCTTAGTTTATGTAATGCTATGTGACGATTAGAGCCAGTTGGTCTAAGAACTTGAGTCCAGGTTCAAATGTTTAGCTATGGTTTAAATGATTAGCTGAGGGCACATTTTGATTCTTCATCCCATCTCTGTAAAACTGAAATAATCCAACTGACAGGGATTCTGTGTGGATGAACGTGGGAAAACATTTGGCATCTCAGCAGTGATGAAAGTGTATGATGCAAAATCCTTTCATTCTCAACTTTCCTTTAACTCTGCCGTTCTTTAATTTTCCTAACAGCTGACAACAAAGACAAGCTTGAAAAAGCAACAGGAGTGAAAATTTTGCAGATTGGCATGGGGGAGGTAGGTGACTACAGTACATGTCATTATCTAAAATGCTTGATTTGTTATTTTATAAGATCCTAGATCTTGCGGATGTTCATATGTGAACTGTGTTAATCATCCTAAGGGCTTATAAAAATTCTGATTATTAGACTGTTGTATCTGTCATAATACAATATCACATTCCACCTACCATATGAGTAAATCTTTGTGGCCTTTAAGAAATAGATTTCCTAGCTTTGTAGTATGTCAGGAGCAAAATCCCCTAGGACGAACAAAGCAATTGATGTGTCTGATTATTCCCACCTGGTTTCACTCAAGTTCTGTTTCATCTCAAGATCCGCAGGGACCTAAACTTGATGTATTTGTCCTTCCAATATGTAGATGAGCCTGCTTGTGAACTGCTATTTTTTTAAAAGTATAAATATAACACATTTCTAAGTCATTATACTCACATCACTAGGCAAAAAATAAATAAATCAGAACACAACCCTGTACTGATAGCTCATCATTTATTAATGAAGATTTTTCAGAACTTTCCATGAATTACACCAGATTGTAAATTCTGTTGTTATGTTTACAAAGAAGTAACAGGCCACTTTTAGCATTTCTACAGAAGTTTATTCCTCTCTGAGAGATAGGGGAATCCCCACTGTTCCTCTTACACTGTTCAGGTGTCCCTTGTAATATTTTTACTTCTAAATGACTCGATAGCATGCACACTTACGTTGTCTAGGTTACGGAAGGCCTGTCCTCAGAACGCAATAGAATAGCAACTTTTATTTCAGTTGCAATGCAACCTAGAACATGACTTGCCTGAAAACCAAGCAGTGTGTGTGTGAGAGAGGGGGAGTGGCAGAGAAATTCAACAGGGACAGGAAGTGGACCCATCAATTGTATCCTTGCATATGTAAGAGATAAAGTGCTCTTGATAGTCAGGAATTCATTGTGATAGGTGGATCAAGAGCTCCAGATAATCAGCTGGGATTGCAAGGATGTCTGAAAGCATCTGTGATATATTGGAGGCTCTGACCGCCCAAAGGAAAGTCACCGCAACCCTAAATGCCTTCCAACTATTCCACATCCAGAGTTTCTTGCATTGCAGTGAAACAACAAGCAGCCACATCTGGGAGCTTTGAAGTCCTATCCTGTACATGCTTACGAAGGGCCAAACTGTATGTGATGCTCAAAAATCACTTGCAATTGTGGTGAATAGCAGATAAAGGGGACTGGCCAGGTTCAGGACTATCACATGCATGGGAGACGGCCCTCTGCTCCCTTCACTGTTGATCCTGAAAAAGTATAAGCCGCTATTTGGAATTATTGGTTCCAGAGATCAGGGTCCCAGTGGCAATGGCTGCCATTTAAAAGTGGGAGAAACATGCAAACAGCTGCCAATGAGGATTGACTCTAAAAAGCACATCTTGTTTGGTTAAATGAGACTTAATCCCAAGCAAGCTTTAAAGGGAGTCTTTACAGAGTCAGGGATGCAGAGTTCTTGCTGCATTTTTTTATTTGCAAGGTGAACATTCTTGGGCAGAATGCCGCTGGTGAACAAACAGTGGGCAGAGATGCAGTCTCTATACACTGAAGTGGGGAGGAAAGGCAGGGGTTTGTTCCTCTTTTAATTAGATAATCTGTTTTCTGCTGGATTTAACTAGTGTCTTTTTTACTTATCAGCATATTTCAATGTTTTATGTAAACCACTTCGATTTCTTTTAAGAAGCGGGATGTACATAAAATAAACAAGCAAATGCATAAACATAAAAGTCTGTGATTACTTGTGCTACATCTTAGTTGTACATATCTGTTTAACACGTGCACCTAACTTACGCATGTATGCATGAGCTGTGCACTTAAAAATGCAGTTCAAGTCTTTTATTTATTGTGCTTCATACTTCAAGTCATGACATATGCCTGTCTTATTTCATGTGTTTGGAGGGAAAGCTCCCTGACGTCAGGAATTGTTCCTTGACACATCTAGCTAAGCACGTAATTCGAAGGCAGCAACCTTAGCAGACTTACCTGGAGGTAAATTCTATTGAAATCGATAGCGCTTGCTTCCAGATAATGTGTTTAGGATTGGGGTGTTTGTGGGGAAAGTAATTAACCCTCAGGCATTTAAACAGGTTAGCAGCTTTCCAGATGCAATTCTGATTTTACTGAAGTCAATGGGATTGCTTTTCTGAACTGGCGTCTGTGCTAGACGGTTACAGAGCAGGGAGTTTTTTTCTACAAATGAGTGTGTGCCTCCTGGAGACAAGACTGCAAGATTATTATCTGCGTTGATGTAATTAAGCGAGGAAATTTGAAGCATAGCACATAATTGTGAAAACACGTCTTCAAGGTATAATGCGGCTATGTATTGTGGCTCAAAGAAAATTAGTAACAGTATCACAAACAGCAAGTATTCACAGTCGTGTCACGGTGTCTTATTATGTAAGTCCCATGAGTTTTCAACCTTCACACATACTGATAAAAAGGGTAGCACCCTTGGTTCGGATGACCCAGACTTGCCAACCAGCGTTGCTAGATCATAGAATCATAGAATCATAGAATCATAGAGTTGGAAGAGACCACAAGGGCCATCGAGTCCAACCCCCTGCCAAGCAGGAAACACCATCAGAGCACTCCTGACATATGGTTGTCAAGCCTCTGCTTAAAGACCTCCAAAGAAGGAGACTCCACCACACTCCTTGGCAGCAAATTCCACTGTCGAACAGCTCTTACTGTCAGCTCTTACTGTTTTGATAGATCAGTTCTATCAAAACCATACTATTTGCATTCTTCATACTGTAATACTTAGAGTTTATTAAAATGTTCTGGTGTTTTTTTTAAACGACCATTAATGTGCACATAACCAATCTAGTTTGTCCTGTTTGTTTGTAGCTTTAAAAAAAAAATTAATCCTTACCTTTCTCCACGGAACTCAGGAGGGCAGCAGGTTGTATCCCATATTTGTCATACTCGTACTCTGTGGTGTAGGTTAGGCTTAGAGACAATTACTGACCCAAGACTGGGATGCAAGTGGCGCTGTGCTCCAAACCACAGAACCTCTTGGGCTTGCCGATTGGAAGGTCGGCAGTTCAAATCCCCATGACAGGGTGAGCTCCCGTTGCTCTGTCCCAGCTCCTGCCAACCTAGCAGTTCAAAAACCACACCAGTGCAATTAGATAAATAGGTACCACTGCGGCGAGAATGTAAATGGTGTTGCCATGTATTCTGGCTTCCATCATGGTGTTCTGTTGCACCAGAAGCAGTTTAGTCATGCTGGTCAAATGACCTGGAGAGATTTACAGAAGCTGTCCCGGTTTCTGATTTGATCCCGCATTTCCTTAGGAAGTCTTTATTTTCATTGGAGAAATGTTGGAGGGTATAGAGTTATGTGACCCCCAAGCTAAGAAGATAGGTAAACTATACTACCTTTGGAACTCATCTGAAAGCAGCCCTGTATAGGGAAGTTTTTAGTGTTCCATGTTTTATATGATGGTTTTATATATGTTGGAAACCCCCTAGAATGGCTGGGGCAACCCAGTCAGATGGGCAGGGTAAAACTATTATTATTATTGTTGTTGTTATTATTATTGACTAGGATTTCCCTATTTTCATTGGAGAAATGTTGGAGGGTATGGAGGTGGTCTTTGGAAAGGGAAAGGCCAAGCACAAGTTGGACAATTATGTGGCAAGAATACCACCCTATGCTAATCTAAGGTCTATATGTGAAAGTACCTATGGAATAGAAGCCTGCCTGTGCATATTTACCCCAAAGTAAGTCTCAGTGGGATTTATTACTATGCAAGTATGCACAGGATTGCAGATATTCAAATGATACAAGGGCTGCAGTTGTTCGAGCAATCCTGCTTAAATCAAGCATAAAATGATCTGTGGAAACATATGCCCCTAGTCCTGCAAACACTACAGGTATGATCTTTATTTGAAACTTAAACGTGACAATGACTTCCAGGACGACTCTTCTATGATTAAAGCTAATCACACACCCATCCAGTGCAACTCCCTCTGTCACTTATCAAAGTGTTTATCCCCCCTTGAATACTGCACAGAAGAAGTATTTTGACTTGTGACTGACAGGTCGCAGCTTCAGCTCTGAAACGGGTTGTCTCCTGTAATCTCTTCTCTTATCTTGCGATTCAAATATCTTTACATCTGTTTTCATGCACGTTTTGCATAAGGAAATGACGGGGAGCTATGATAATAAAAAGTTATAAATGGCTCCTGAAATTCAGAGGCAGCTATCAGTTTATTCTGATACGTGTTGTGCTCTTGAAACATTGCGAAAAGCACAATAGTGAAGTGTCATGTTGCCTCATGAATCCCTCTGTATCGGAACAGCGCGTGTGATTTTTAAACTAGCAGAATTGTGAAGTGATTGAGCGGTTGCCATGGTAGCAGCAGTAATTCCTTTTTTCTTTTTTTTATTCAGCAACATGTAAAATGAAAGAGGGAAGCTATATGCCTTGTGGCTGTGGGAATGCATATGTCCTATTTTGCTTTTGTTTGGGTTATTTAAAAAATAATAATCAATACACGGAACATATGTTAATCCAAGTTACGGTTTGTATTTGGGCTTGACAGTGTTGTTGGTTTATAACCATAGACTGTCCTCTGAAAGGAAGCAAAGAGCTAAAAGGAAAAGGCCAGCAGAAAACCTGTTGGCTGCATGTTGAAACACGAATGCAGAATTAAAATTGAGGGTGTTTTGTTTTACGATCCAGTATGCCATACAATATAGACCCTGGTTGCAAAAAACGTGCTATGCTTATGCATTGTTTGGGGAAATTGCTAACCTGTATGGGGTTGCTCCACCAAAGATTAAAAATGACTGACCTCAACCTTTGTTATAATGGTTTTGGTGAAGTGGAGCTTTTGCATCCTTTTTCCATGCGCACAAATCTTTCTCACAACTTCTTTTTGATTAGACTAAAGAGGTGGATACCGTTCTTTGGATTGTAAATAGCCATATTGAATATTAACGTAGTAATCAGCTGGGACCTATTGAAGTT